GCCCTGATCCACCGCGAGCCTTGGGGGCTTCGGAGTGTTCCAATCCAAACAAGCGCGTTGTTTCGCACGCTTGCTTTGTCGCTGCGAGCCCCATGAGTCATCGCGCTGCGTCGGGAGAAACGGCCTCGGCTTGCCGCTGTGCTCACCGATTTAGCGTTCGGTTGCCACGGCCAGCGACTCCAGTCGCTTGGTGGCGATGCGTTTCGGCAACAGCTTCCGCACCCTCCCCTGGCCACAGATTCATGGGACCCTGTCGCGTCGAGAGCACATTGCGTCTTCGTCTGCCAGGCTGGAGATTCTTCGCCACGGCGAGGCTGATCTGATGCTGCTCGGTCAATGCTTGGGCGCGGGGTGGCCCCTCACCGAGGCGCCTATACGCCCCAGTCGCCCATGCACAACAGGCGCGGCATTTTTCTTGACACAATGGGGGATGCGCGCGGGGTGGTCCCCCACAGCGGCGCGCGCCGTCCGCCTGCCCGCCGCGTCGAGACTCGTGCGCCGCCCGCCTGCCTACCTACAGCTCCGCTCACTTCCGTGGCCCCCACGGCTCAGGCTGGTGTTCGCACGGCGCGTTGACCAGCGCCACCAACGGTATCGGCGAAGCAACGGCCACCAGCATCATTCTCGTAAGTTTCACGTCAGCTTTCATCACGCCAAACATATTGTAAGTATGTGGGGTTCCTCTATAGCGTAATTCCCCCTCCGCGCCGCTCAGTGGTCGCAGTCACGCGTGGTGCTCGCGGGCATAATGCGGGGCGCACAGAGGCCGCATCCGCACTTCGATGCAAACGCTAAGGTGTGTGCGAGCGCTCTGGCGGTGCCAGGGGACCTGAGCGGGGGGCTGTAAGTTATAATCCCCCCGTTTCCCCGTTTAGCGCCCGCTAGGGCGTCACGGACACCTTGCGGTGGATCGGCCTTGTCCTCTAGGATCTTCGGCGGGTCGCTGGCGGCCTTTTGCAGCCCCATGTTTCGGGTAGCACATCCTCGTATCCGTCGCCGGCACGAGCCTCGCCTAATGCTTTCAAGCCGCGCCCTCCGAAGCTCGTTGCCGCCACGCCTGCCCCAGTGCCCCTGCGTCGCGCACCTCAAGGCTCGGCGCCACCACAAGCATGGTCCCATGCCCCTGCGTTGCGCATCCCAGTGCTTATTGCCTTCGGAAGCCAGCCCTGGCCCAACCCCATCCCCGCGTTCCCCACAACTCGTATCCGCCGCCAGATCCGCCGACTTCCGTCAGGGTCCCACGGGCTGGCATCATGTTTCCCTGCAGGCTGTAAGGGAGATCGGGTTCTGATCGTGACAGGACCAGCCTCCTGCCCCCCATGCGCGACAAGATTGAGTACGTCCGTCCTCGCCTCCCGTCCGATCTCCCGATCTGCATTTTGGCGGGTAGGCAGCCAGCCTCCTCGCAGCGATCCAGGGGTGGGCAGCCGAGGTCTGGCTCGTTATCAACCTTTCGTGGCAGCGCCAAAGGGGCGGGAACAGCAGCAGCAGCAGCATCGCTCAGGGACCAGCTTCAGGATCGTGCTACCATGTGTGCACTGCGGTGCTGCCGTGGTTCCACCGCGGCTCTTCCATGATTGTACCCTGGCCCGACGGGTCTCTCGCGGGCCCCAGGGCGTTCGTGGGATGACTTGGGCGCGAATACGCGGTTTGTGAGACCACTCCGGCGTCTTGGGGCTCTCTTGGGGCCGTGTTGTGCCATCTCTTGTGGGGACTATTGGGTATCTTGTTTTGGAAATCATCTTAGCCCAAGGGCCATACGAGTTAAAAGCATTGTTTCTCCGCCGCTCGCCCCGCCATCTCCCCGCCGGGCCACCTTTCGGGGAGGGCAGGGCAAGAAGACGTGCCAGTGCTGGTAGACCCGTGAGCTGCCAGGAGAGCTAGGTACTTTTCCCTCGTGACCGTCTGTGCGGCCAGGTCGCCGAGGATGGGGCGCGTGCCCCAACAATTCATCGGCTGACGTCCTCCGACGCCAGCCGCGCCGCCTCGCATCCTGCTGCCGCTGCCGTTGCTGCCGCTACCCTTTTGCGGACTCTGGAGTTGGCCTTGGGGCCCTCCCATAGATCGATGGACTCATCCTGACACCGCTAATATCCCCGGTGAGATCGTCTGCTGACAGGGTTCTTCTGGTCACCACGGCATCGTGTGCGAGCGCTTCCCGAGGCAGTCTGGCCATGGGGGTCAGCGTCGAGAGGGGTGGGATGAGTCCGTCGGGCCAAGAGCACTAATACAGTCTGTTGGGCTGCCGCGGCCGAGGGGGCCGCGGTCGCGGAGAGAGGGGGTACATCGGCGAGTGTGGCCGCTCCAGGCCGTTTGAAAGGCCGTTTGAAAGGGGCGAGCCTCTTTTGAATCCACGCTCGCGGATTGAGGAACGCAGGATGCGATTGGCCCTCCTGCGGCGGGGCGGGAATCAGGTCGCCAGATCCCCATCCCGCAGCCTCGACCTGCCCCCTTCCTCCCTCCTCTCTTTCCAATATCGCCCTATTCTGGCCACCCTCCCCTCGCACTGCTCGGATGATGCCCAGGGGGACTTGAGAATCCACCTTCAGGCCAACATGGCCAGTGCTGCAGGGGTGCTGGTTTCATCCTGTGGTCCAAAAGCCTTGTCTGACCACCCCCGATCATTTCTATTCGGCACTCTTTTTCGGCTGTCCAGGCCCGCGGTTCACCCCGCGGGCGTCGAATATGCTCTTGTAGACATGTCTCAAAGAATTTTCATTTGGTACAAGGGACGTATTGTGGAGCAGGCTCTCAGGCGTTGGTCCTGGGTCGGGCGTCGTGACCCGTGACGCGGCGACGTTCTCGCCACACCAGAAAACATGCGTTCGCACGCGTCTGCTGCTGGGCCTCTCCTTTACCATTCGCGTGCCCCCACCAGCACGCTCCTCGCCTTGGCGTCTGTCCTCTTCGCGGCCGCCTTCCCTCTTCCCCGCCTCTTCTGCTCGAGCCTGACGCGCGCTGTAGCGCCTCCCGCTTTCGTCCTGACGCGCTGGACCGTGCTCATCGTCGCCGACCCAACGATCCCCACCAGCCCATCCAGGAACTACCGTTATGCGTCGTTTGGGGGGCCTCTTGGGTCGTCTTGGGCTCCTCTTGCGAGTGTGTTAGGGTTCTCATCGTCCTTATCCTCCTTCGCTCGTCCCGCTGATCTCCTCCAATCCGGCCTGGTCTGGTCTGGTCTGGCCTGGTGTGGTCTGCTCAAGCGTAGACTTGCCTGGTCGGGTCTTTTGTCGCGTGGTGTGGTCTGGCCTGGTCGGTCTTTGTGTTATCTGATGTGGACCTTTTCGTGGCTGGTCTTGTTTGGGGTGGTCTGGTCTGGCCTGAAGCAGTCTGGTCTGTTCCTCTTTGATATGCCACGCTATACGGTCATACTACTCTGTTGTATACTATGCTATGCTGTGGTAATGCAAAGAGATGCTACTCTGTGGGATGCTGTGCCGTGCAATGCTGGTCCATGATACGCTAACAATTTGCAATGCTAGTGAGTGCTATGTGATACCGGGTGGACACTTTTTTTGCGTCGGCGGCTAGGCAGGGGACGTGTGCGTTGGCCATGGGATGCCTAGACGCGAGGTGCCATGTGGACACAGAGTGCCACACTTTACCTTGGGTGTCGCCATTACTGCATACAGTTTCACATTATCTTGTAATGCGTGTGAAACATGTGTACCATCGTGCGCCGTAGCATGCAGAGCGTGGCATAGCGTTCCGGATCTGAGGACGGCGTGGGTGACGGGACCAAAGAAATAGTAACATGTTACCTTGCGGGTTCGCCATTGCACGGCATCATTACGTCGCATACGTATACCTTTTAACCAAATGTCCCTTTACTTGGGGTCGTTCCGGAATCATTACTATTTGTTCCCCTAACCTTTTTCGCCCCTTCCTTTGGCCTCTCGGGGAAGAACGTCCTGAAAACATAGTTGATACAGACTAAAAGGAAACATCAAGCCAATCAACCCGCATAGCTAGATGAACATCAACTATTTGATAAACAAGCACTGGCTTCAATGAGGTAGATGTTGATGCCCTTATTCCCGTGTGTGTTGTTGTTTGTTTTCCTCGTTGCTTATGTTAAGGAGCTGCCAGCGAAGCGGAGCGGTACGGGATCATCACCGAATGAGTTCCAGGCGCATCGAATATTGTAATGTTAGCCAGCGTGGATTTCTTGCAGTCTATTCGGTGCAATCTAGGTGGGGCAATCTAGGTGGTGCAATCCATGTAGTTCAATGTGCTGCAAAGCACTGCACATCAATGCAAAACACTGCAAAACGCTGCAGAGCAATGCAACACAATCGAAAGTAATGCAAACCCATGCAAAGCAATGCAACACAATGTACTGAGTTGTAAAGCAATGCAAAGCAATACAACACAATGCAACACAATGTACTGAGTTTTGAAGGAATGCAAAGCACTGCAAAGCAATGAAAGGTAACGCACATCCATGCAACACATTGCAAAGCGACCGGGAGGGGCAATGGCGCGGCGGCGAAGGACGGGAACGGGGCCGCTGGGCCAACAGATGGGCCTTCTGCTTTTGTTCCGACAAGAAGGGCGCCGACGGACGGAAACGAGGCCGCCCAACGGACTGGACGAGAAGATCAGAACGAGCGCGTTTGCTTTCTTTTGGGCCAGGAGCCCTCGCGGATCGAGGTGGACCACCACATCGTGCATGGAACTTGTCCCATGGTGTTTTTCCCCGACGTTCGATGCCAGCAGCGAGAGAGAGAGAGAGAAACAAAAAAAAACAAGAGAGAGAGAGAGACAGAGAGCGAGAGATAGAGGGAGAGAGAACAAAAAGAGAGGGGAAGCAAATAATAATAATTGTGTCGACAGGTGTTTCCCCCTTGATCTCGGATGTCAGGAGAAAGAGATAAAGAGAGAGAGAGAGAGAGCGCGGGGGGAAAGAGAGAGAGAGAGAGACAGAGGGAGAGAGAGATCAGAGAAACTGAGGAAAATTTTGATATAGAGAGAAGGACTGTTGAATACGCGTGTGGACTGGCGGGGGGGTCTGTGGCCTGTAGTTCAAGTTGCCCAGAACCACGGCAGGCGCGTGCATGGCTTTCCGGGCCGACTCCCCCACCCCTTCGGACCGCTCGGACGCCGATGATGAGCTGCGGGAGGGCATCGAGCAGATCAGACGTGGCGACTACCGGGGAGCGCAACGCACGCTCGCTGGCCTGCACTCGGCAGACGTGTCCACGGCCGTGGAGGCCCTGCGCTGGAGCGCGCACGCGAGCGCCAAGCTGGGCGCCCACGACGTGGCGGACGCCCAGTTGCAGTCGGCCCTCGCCCGCGTCGAGGAACTGCCCGCGGCCCAGCAGCCGAAGGCCCGGGCCAGCATCCAGCTGCGCCTGGCTGCGGGGGAGCAGCGCCGGGGCGACGACGCCGAGGCGGAGCGGCTGCAGAGGGCGGCGATCGAGAGCCTGTCCGTGCACGCGGAGGACGTCGGGCTGGACCCCGTGCGGGCCTTTCAGCAGCGCCAGAACCACCAGGCGTCCCTCGGGTCCGCATGGAACAATCTGGGAATCACCCTGACGCGGCGCGGAGAGCAGGCGCGGGCGAGGGAGGCGTTCGAGAAGGCCATGACCCTGAGAGAGGAGCTGGGTGACAAGGAGGGCTACTGCATGGCGGCGACCAACCTGCTGACGCTGCAGTGTGGCGATGAGGCGCCCTCCGCAGAGGTGCTGGCCACGATGGAAGAGCACTTGCGGACGGCAAGGCAGATGGGTGCGTCCCACAACCTGCTTGTGCCCCTGCGCGTGAACCTGGCGAACTGCCTCGAGGCGGCGCAGGCGTGGCGGCAGGCGGCCAAGGCTCGCCGGGAGCTCTTCGGGCTGGCCGTGCCGGAGGAGGAGCTCAGGCTGGAGGCTAGGTGCGAGGCCTGCCAGGCCTTCGCTCCACGGCTGCGGTGTGGGCGGTGCCGCCGCGTTTTCTTCTGCACAGACGCGTGCCAGCGCAAGGCGTGGCCGGCGCACCGCCACGAGTGCACCGCGCGCGACGAGGCGGCCGATCGCGCCAAGGCGAGCCGTGAGTGCCCCGTTTGCTTGGAGGAGGTGCTGCTGAGCTCCACCTCCGCCGCCTCCCCGGTGACAGTGCTAGAATGCCTGCACGTCCTCCATTCCGCTTGCTGGCAGGGTCTCCTGCAGTCCCGCCAGGGCGAGGTCATCTGCCCGGTGTGCCGAGACACGTTGCCGATGAGCGCGTAGGTCTTCGTCGTGCTTCGCCGGTCCTCCGACGCGCCCGGCCAGGCGCGCAGCAGAAAGGCGCAGAGGCGACGGCCAGGCGCGGATGCAGTGGGGCCAGACCCCCAACTGGTCGATCTGCGCGAGAAAGGCGGATGAATACCTTGCGCCGTGAAGGAAGTGGGTGTTCGGGCTCTTGAGAACATCCACCCTGGGCTCGGCAACGGAAACGATTCAGGAAGAAAAATTGGTCCTGGAGAAGCCCAGGGGTCCAGGAGCACGTTTTCCACCATGATCCGTACTCCTCATGAGCACAGGAGGCTCTCGCTGCGAGAAAAGGGAGGAGGAGAATCAGCGGGAGGAGGGGAGGAGGTTGACAGTGAGGAGGAATAGGAGGATTGCGAAGATGTGGTAAGTAGCCAGGCGGAGGAGGAGGGGGAGGAGGTCGATGTTGATGTCGAGGTTGAGGTTGAGGTTGAGGTTGAGGTTGGGGTGATGATGATGTTGATACTGATGCTGATGCTGATGATGATGATGATGATGATGATGATGATGATGATGATGATGGTGGTGAGGGTGATGGTGGTGGTGGTGGTGGTGATGCTGGTGATGGCGATGATGGTGATGCTGATATTGATGGTGATGGTGATGATGTTGATGATGCTGATGCTGATGCTGATGCTGATGATGATGCTGATAATGATGATGATGATGAGGATGGTGATGATGGTGATGATGTTGATGATGGTGATGCTGATGCTGATTATGATGATGATGATGATGATGATGATGATGAGGTGGAGGGCCAGAGTAACCCAGGATGTATCAACAATGCTGCAATATTCCTTCTTCGCTCCGGGCACGTGTGCGGTCCACTCTGCGGAGCATGGAAAAGCATCAATGGAACTGCCGACTTCTGCGCCGCCGACTTCGTTCCTCAAACATGTTCCAGGTATCATCGGCGCCTCTTTCACTAAGCCGCTACCGTTGTGGATCGCATACCTGCCCGAAGCGCAGGGAGGGAGTAGTCGTAGTAGTAGTCGTGGTCGTAGTCGTAGTAGTCGTCGTCGTCGTCGTCGCCGTCGTAGTAGTAGTAGTAGTAGTAGTAGTAGTAGTAGTAGTAGTAGTAGTAGTAGTAGTAGTAGTAGTAGTAGTAGTAGTCGTAGTAGTAGTAGTAGTAGTAGTAGTAGTAGTAGTAGTAGTAGTAGTAGTAGTAGTAGTAGTAGTAGTAGTAGTAGTAGTAGTAGTAGTAGTAGTAGTAGTAGTAGTAGTAGTAGTAGTAGTAGTAGTAGTAGTAGTAGTAGTAGTAGTAGTAGTAGTAGTAGTAGTAGTAGTAGTAGTAGTAGTAGTAGTAGTAGTAGTAGTAGTAGTAGTAGTAGTAGTAGTGGTGGTATGCATAGTCGTCGTAGTCGTAGTAGTAGTCGTAGCAGTAGCAGCAGTAGTAGTAGTAGTAGTAGTAGTAGTAGTAGTAGTAGTAGTAGTAGTAGTAGTAGTAGTAGTAGTAGTAGTAGTAGTAGTAGTAGTAGTAGTAGTAGTAGTAGTAGTAGTAGTAGTAGTAGTAGTAGTAGTAGTAGTAGTAGTACAGTAGTACAGTAGTAGTAGTAGTAGTAGTAGTAGTAGTAGTAGTAGTAGTAGTAGTAGCAGTAGTAGTAGTAGTGTAGTAGTAGTGGCAGCAGTTGCACGCAGCACTTGGGAGAACACGTTCGTGTGGACTGCGCGGCGGCTGGAAAAAATCGTCATCATCATCATCATCATCATCCTCATAATCACCATCATCCCCATCATGGTCGTCATCGCTCTACACGCAAGGACACGTGCAGGCGGATAGTCATAGTCATCATCATCATCAACGTCATCATCAACAACATAAACATCTTCATCGTCATCGGTCTCTGCAAACTGACGTCCATACGGGCAGATTCTCAAAATTGTCCCCCCTGGGTGCTCCGAAACTGGGGTTTTGGAGGTACGATGGTCCTCCCCAGACATCTCGGCGAGGCTCTGTTGCACTCCCCCTTGCGTGCCCGAGGTCCGTGGTCGCCGTTCCACTTCGGATGTCCTCGGCGTGTGCGCTCTCGTTCCGGTTCATTTTTTGCACATGATTCTGATCGTTCTGACATACATGTAGCCGGTGAAACATCCTTGCTATATGTTAATTTCTTTCCTCATCTCTCAAATTGCGCAAAAGGCCGGACCGCACACGTGCCCGGTGCGTCCTTCTTGTTCCGAGTCCCTTCCTAACACGTCCCTGCAAACCTTCCTTTCCATTGCAGGTAGCGCCACTTTGAACGCCGAGCACCCTACGGGCCTGTCGTTCATGCGATAGATCTGTTCTAAAAAGGAACTGCATTGCATGTTTCCAGCGAGTGGTAAGGAATGCGAACAGGTAGAATTCTGAAGTTCAACGAGGTGTCCAGCGAGAATCCAATTTTGAAATGGAAGTGCCCTCCCAACCGTGCAATTAATTGTTTCACAAGTGCACGTTCTTGGTCATGAAATTCGAGGGAATATTCTGTGAGTGGTTGGACGACCGAGCGTGCGCGGAAGGTCGTTTCTGGGCAATGGCGTTCGATTTACATATTCTGTCAGGCCTCGAGAAGGGAGGACCGGATGAGGAGGACGGAGACGCGGATGAGGAGCAAGAATACGTGAGGGAACGGGAACCTTATACATAATAGAACAAATAATAACCTACCATGCGGTCCCTGGTATGCGTGCGTGTTGACATGTCGTGGTGGTGTATTGATGTGCGCTGGTCGTCCGACTAACCCGAGTAAGCGATTAAGGAACCCCCCCCCCTCTCCGGTGAAAGGATAACGCACCCGGCACCCGGAAACGTTATCCTGGCACCAGGAGGGGGTACACCAGATCGCACGGGTCCCACGGAGTCCCGCAGGTCTCGCAGGTCCTTAGCTTTCCTCAGCTTTTCTCAGCTTTCTCTTAGCTTTTCTAAGCTTTTCCTTAGCTTTTCTCAGTTTTTCCTTATTCGTATTCGTATTCTTATTCTCATTACAATTCTAATTGGGATGCCACCCGAGGCGGGGCGCTGGAATTATTTATTGTCCTTCCATTTGCGCGGTGCTAATAATATCGCTCGGCGAAAACCCCCCCAAATAATTATTTAATTACGGCGCGGTGCTAATGATAACGCCGGGGGGTTCCTTAATTGCTTCTCCGGGTTAGCCTCATGAGCGCACATCGTGGAATAGTGGTGTTTTGCGGCGTAAGTTGTCATTGGGTGGCCGGCATGCGGTTTCCGGGAGTTTGAGATTTCAGGTTAATTGTTGATGATCGGCGCAAAGACATTCTCATTATAATGACACGTGAAGCCCACAATTACCATAACCGCCACTTCATTGGGCATTCCAGTTGCAGTTGTTGGTCGCTGACGTGCCACCTTGCCCATATGTTTGCTCCGTACCCCTTGACACTGCGATGCTTCGTTCTAGAGAGTCGCGAGGCAGACTCGCTTGTTCCATCGCATGTCATCCGCATGGCCGTCAGACTTGGCCTCCAGCTTCTGGTATCGAAGACGCCTGCGGCGAATCACCGCCGCCCCCCTGCCTTCTAGGACACGCCTATGTGGCCAGACGTTTAGGTACAGTTTGGCCACGCTATTGGACCATGCGTTCCCCCAGCCGTTGTGGACGCCCTTCGAGAAACAAGGATGATGATGAGGAAAGGGATGAAAAAGGAGGACGAGGAGAAGGATGAGGAGACCTCGTGGGATCTTCTTCGGTCATTCCTGGTGCCTCCTGGGAGCTTCTTTGGAGGCATATTCGGGGCGTCCTTGGGCCTCTTGGGGGCCTCCTGGGGTTTCTCGGGGCCTCTTTGGCCGTCTTATAGCGTTCTTAGCCAGTCTGACGACGTCGGAAGCCGTCTTTGGAGCCCCTCTGGGCCGTTCTGGGGCCTTCTTGGGGCGCTTCAGGGTCACCTTGAAAGCCATCTTAAGCGTCGTGGAAACATCTTGGGCCGTCTTCAGGCCCTCTTGGGGCCGTTTTGGGGGCATATTTGGGTCGTCCGGGGCATTGTTGGAGTTTTGGGCGATCTTGATGGCCTCTTGGGCCGTCTTGGGCCGTCGGAAGCCCGAAACGGAGCAAAAAACAACATCATTCAGACATCTCAGGAACAATGATTTGGGTTTTTCGGGCCTTCCTGTGGATCCTCTTTGAGGCCTCTTGGGCCGTCTTGGAGGCCCTTTGGGACCTTTTTGAACAGTCTTGGGCCATCTCGAGGCCATCTGGGGTGCATCGGGTTACCTATCCTCTTTTTTACTTGCCATCAAGGAACGAGAGGTGGGATATTCCGATACGTCGCCGACGTTATCCTAAGAGTAGGGTTCTCAGCTCACTACCTCATGGCCAAACCCTGTACCCTTACTTTTTATTTGGCGGCGGAGCTGGCGACATTTTCACACGGTTGGCTCTTACATCGGTTGTTATGTACATAGCCACTTACCACGGCACAGTGGATTACCCGACTGCGCGGGCTCTCAGCCACTACACTCCCAATATTCGCGAACCAATTGGTAGCTTAATACTTCCATCTCCCCACCGCGCGGCCACGTGCTACGCACAACCCAAACACCGATACCTATCCGCAAGCTGACGGTCACGTCAGACCAGACGCCCAGTCGCAACCATACCGACGCGACAATATCAAATGATATGCAACTTAACATGATTTCGCACGACGTTAAGGTCGCCATCTTTGGATTTATCTGGGCGCGCCTCGGATTTGCCGTGGCATGCGCGCGAGGAGGAGGAGGAGTGGATGCAACGCGCACTCGGGGTCCCTTCTGGGGCCCCGCAGGCAGCGTACCCTTCGCGACTTTGTTTGCGAAGTAAACGCATTGGTTAACGTCGCAGGCGGAAGCGTGACCCCACCTCAACAGGCCGCAGCCTTACAGCGCGGTTTAGGATAATTGAATAGGGCACTAGCCATGAGGGTGCCATCCACCATCATCAACTATGGCGCTACACTACAGGGGAGACGCACCGACGGAGTCACATGCATCATGTACATATTAAGCACCAAATATGATAACCTTGAAGACGAGCGACAGCTTACCTCGGGGACCGCCCTCATCGACTTCAGGGTCGAGAGAGGCGAACGCATTGACTCAATGCAGGCCCGATTCGAGATGGCCAGGCTGGAATCAGACTGAGCAGGCTTCAACATTCC